GCCGGTCTCTTTCGACCAATTCAGCGATTTTATCGCAATTTTCGACGACAGGTCTTCCGCAGCGTGGCGCATCTTCGACCACCTCTACACTAGAACGTAAACGTTGAAACCATCGTTGTGCGGTGGAAATGTTAACTGTATCGGGTCCATAAACTGCACAAATTTGCTTTCCAAATAGGTATAGCATGACCCGATGCGACTAAAACTAGAACCATGCGCTCTCAGCGCCAACTAGCGAAAATACCATAAGACTTTTTTTGACAACCTAATATATACAATTACTTAGATCTCGATCATCTGGTTATCATTTTACATCTTAAGGTATTTCAATAGATTTGATTTTTGTAAGAGTATACAAATTTCGGTTGCACTCAAACTAAGACCTTCTATTGACTTGACTTTTTGAGTTTTATTTTTTAATGCAACGCTTTGAAAACTCTGGCATTTACCGGTATTCTCTCCTACGCATGATCTTCAAGCAATAATACAAGTAGATGTTTTGTTTTCACCATCATAATGTCTCTGATGTTAAATGTTTGCCGCGACAAATCGAAAAAGGGATATCTCGATGAAACAGGTTATTGGATCTATGGATCAGTGTGGCTTGATTCAGAGCTCGGAAACATGCACAAGACATCTGTTTGTCTACGAATATTTATTAAATTTTTTAGATGTACTTTTACGTAGATTTTTCTTTAAATCTCTAAAGTTATTTGAATCGAACATTAGAAGGAAATTGCTCTTTATGACTTTGTTAAATCAATGTCTTCCTCATAGCTTCATAATTTTCCTCTGCATGCTAAAATCGATTAGTTTTAGTGACTTCATACTATAACATAAATATTTCCGATATCAAATAAGCCAGATATGAAATTATGAAATTAGTTATCAAGTGACCTACTTGTATCAGTAGGTAGTAGTATTTGGGAGGTGTGATAGGAAGTAACTTGTAGTACATACATACATACATCAATGCAATTAACTCTCAAGCTAATTAGTTGAGGTAGTCCGGCTTTGCAGACTTGTAAATATGGCTTCAAAAAGCATATTTTTATTTGTAAGATAGTCTGCTACTAGAATTCCATTAATGCTATTATGGAATTAGTTTTGTGTGAAACCGTATTAATTCATTGATCATATTCGCCATGCTTTCATGGGGTTTTGCGTTTTTGTTTGAACAAGGGAACTTAGTATTCACTAACACACTTTGTGTACTGAGTTCATTGCATTCACTGTGGAGATAACCCGCCATTAGTATTAAAAAATTCCCACCACATTACATATGTATATGAATAACAAGTACTCATACTTGTTGTATATACTAATCGAGGTATAAACCAATTGAATTGATTAGTTTGGGGGGAAGCTAGTAGTTTCATTCATTACTATAGATTAATTAAATTTATTTACTTGTTTACCATGTAGAGTGTATACATATATTTAAGTAATATTGCCAATTAACAAATTATGCTAAAACATTAACGTATATAACATTTTTATATATAATTATTACGGAATTAAAATTAATAAGAAAATGTAATGTAATATCTTTTTTTACGCTTGAACACACAGAACATAACATTTTATTACTTAATATGCAAGTTGTATCATAAAATAATAAATGAATCAATTTTGACATAAATTTCTCACTTAGAAGCGGACATCAATTTGAAATTTGCACAAGTGCTTTCCTCATCAAGAAGTTGCTCACTTCTACGCAATCTCGGTAAAATTTTTTTAGATCAGATAATTGCTATCATACTAACTGAGCGATTGGATTTAAGTTCTATTATAGATTCTTTAAGTTATATTTCCTTACTCAAGTGTTTCGCACTTAAGATATTCAAAACAATTCCAAGTGGCGTTTAAGATAAAGACAAGTAGCGAGAGTATATAAATTTCATAATATCTTCCCCAATAAATACATAGCTACATACACAAAGCAGGGAAACCTAAATATTCTAACAAATGCAGTTCTTTATTTTATATGTTGTGATTTTATTCCTTCTTTGTTCAGCCTATGAAAACATAGTATATATATATATATTCTAAAAGACTTGGACAATGCAATAAGGAAGCATTAAGTGACAACCAGATTGCTTTCAAAGGCTATTCAATATTATATACAAATATTTTACATACATGGTTCCAATAAAAAATAATTTAACACAGTATGTACTATATATGCACGTTTGGTTGGTTAAAAAAAGTAATATTTTTTTGTTTAATAATTTGAAGAATAGGGTTTTAAAGACCTCTCAGAAATACTCACCAAGCACGAGATCTTAATTGCATTCTATATTTTTTTTTTTTGTTTTTTTTTTTTAATAGATAGAAAGGTTCACTCAACTCAACTCTCTTCCTACTACTTGAAAACTATGCAATTGAAAGCTCTCCAAACAGAATCTCTTACATTTTTTTTTCGTAAAACCGTTAGAAGATATTAACGATGGAAGTGTGATTATTTTAATGCAAATTTTTTCTTGTGAATTTGAACTCAATGAATAAAAAAAATTATAAATCGAAAAACTTTCAGTTTTGAAGATTAATTACTGTTCTATCAAAATAGTCTCTCTACAAAAAACCATTTTTTCATAACGCCAAGGTAGACAACACCCTGAATTATAGTCTTCCACTTATATACCTATGTATAACTATGTAGATATTACAGAAGCTTGATAAAAAAAATATCCAAATGACCAATAAGTTCCGGTGGAATTTCAATTTAAAATTTGTTTATGCTAAATTATTTTATTGATTAATTAAATAACTAATTATTTAATGCCAAAACCACAATTTTAATAATTTTTCCCCATCGCCTCGGAAATTTGTATTTGACTATTTGACAATTGCAATTAAAGCGGATACTGAACACTGTATTATGTTGCAAATACGTTGACACATCTAAAGTTTCCGATAGATGGCACCATATCCAGAATCAGCGTTTAAAGTTACCATAACATTAATCCTGCCAGATTTGTTGAACTTTTTTGGTCCATTATGGAAATTCTATATATATGAATAAATATGAAAAATACTAGTTTCATATGATATACCTAATTTTATGGAAGTTTAGTAAATTCAAATAAATCATAATGCGGTTGAGGGGTTTCATATGAAAACAAGTTTACAATTTTTTGTTAGATTTTGTTAGTAATATGCTCAATTGACAACTCAATAACGGAAAATAATATAAGTATAGTATTTTTCTGCTGTTTTTAAAAGGCTTATATAGCAATTGATCGTATATAGTAACTCCACATGTGTGTAGAGTATATATGGTATACAGTATATATAATACTTAAATTTTTTTGGAGTTTTATTCATTGAAGTATCACAGTGACTCTGAGAATATACAAAGTCTATTAACACCTTCTCTGAACGAATTTTGTTCTCAAGAGTTTAGCGAATTAATCATAATCAATGAAGTTATTGGAATACTGCTTTGCAATGATAATCGAAATCGGATCGTTGATTTTCAAGGCCGCAAATATGTGATCCTTTGTACTGAAAAAATTGTAGAGAATATTTATCTAATATTAATATAAAATTGCTTAAAAAATGGGTAAAGTAGCTTCCATAGGCCTCATATACAAAAAATATATCTGCGGCATTCCAGTTGACTTTATACGGCTTTGTGTTACTCTAGGATTACGTATAGTTAGAAGGCCAAAAAAGCGAATTTTCCAGATTTTTTTCTAAATTTTAAATTTATTGATCCAAAAATTTGTACACACATTATGGTATCTTTTAACTGTATTTTATGGCTTACTATTAATAAACATATCTCTGAACTGAATTCTCTGAAATTAAAAACACAAATAGATTTTATTAAAGTAATGTTAAGTCTAGTAATTAATGTGAGGGAAAAACAAAATGTTTTTTTTGACCAAATGACGATTTCTGAAAAAAAAAATTAATATATATTTATATATTCGGGTGTTTTTTTTTTGAAATATTAAATTTTTTCAGTCCCGTCCCGAAATTTCCTAGAAAATACCCTAAAAAAATTGCCGGGAAATTTTAAGCCTTATTATTAACATTAAGAACTGGACCAAGGCCTGTAAAAAATTTCCATAGTAAATGCACTACAATCGTGAGTTTTAACTTCGAATTTTGTTTTATCTCTTCGATCGTCTGAAAAAGGGGCTCTACGGAGCGGAAATTTCAGTTTGAGGAACGGAAAAAATCATACGGAGCCTAATCTGGTGAATACGGTGGTTGATCGATGGTATTAATTGCGTTTTCGGCTTTAAATTCGGTCACAATCGTGGCTCGATGCGAGGCTGCATTATATTCGTGTAAAATGCATGGCTCGTTCTTCCATAATTCCGCCCGTTTTCGATGGATGAACTCACGCAAACGCCTCAATACGGGCAAATAGAACTCCTTATTGACCGTCTGTTCTTCCGGAACAAATTAATGGTGCACCAAACCAGGAATTTCGAAAAAAAAAATCACATTACCTTGATTTTTGAGGGGATTTGGCGTATTTTTAGTCTGTCCTAAGAGACCTGTTTTTGTACTCTGCTTGAAAAAAATCACCTTTATCGAGCAACAATGCGTTTCATACCAAAACCATTTCTACGGACTTGCGAGAATTCCTCTCTTGCAATTTCCCTAACACTTCATAAAACTGTATCACCGTGTTGTTTTGTCTCAATGTATCTGCTAAGTATATGTATGTATATGCTTCCACCAAATATTAGTCTTTAATTATAAAATTTTTTTCCAAATTTAAAAACGTTTTCGTTATTTCGCATAGTTCTACTACACAAAAAGGTTCCTGAAATCTGAACACAATAAAAAAATAATTACTCAAATAGTAATAAACCGAAAACCAAACTCTGTCAAATATGAAACTACAGAAAAATTATTCACAGTTTCGAACAATGTTGTGTTCAGTCAAATATGTTTTGAAATTTCTAAGCATCACAACATTAAATCCTAAAATCATATAGTCTAATATATTTATTTTATGTGAATTTGTATCGTTTTAGACATGAAATGCAATTTGCAATTAAAGTGAAGTACAACAATAACGACAAAACATATACGCGAGTTTGAGCTAAAACGCGAAATAACGAAAAATTGCCGGTTCTTACGAAAATAAATGCTTATTTGAAGCGCCTCCGCACGTCCACGAACAACCCATACACACACACACACACGCGAACCTACCGAGAATGCAAACCACAAATCAAAATACTTGTGATACCGCCGAAACTAGCATAGCAAGAACAAAAACAGAAAACGAATTTGATACAACAGCAACAGCAACAGCAACAGCAACAACAACAACAACAATCAACACTACCAACACACAAAACGAAGCTTTTGCAAACTACAATGTTGTTGTAGACAATCTTTATGCACAACATAACAACCTTAACGTATTAGCTGTAAGCACTACATTAACACCAAATACACTGAAAATATTAGCAGCCACACCGATGGACCAAAGACCGCAACTGGATGAGGACAATGAGAATTGTGTGATTGATATTGCCACCATGCAAATCGCTGACGATAGCAATAATACTGCCGCAATGTCAGCCTTAAGTGGCGACAGCAACAACAAATACAGCTATACAAATGAGCATAGTGAGTCTGGCTGCGAACGTATAGCGGGTGATGCGAAAGGCGAAATCGATATAGCAACAGATGCGGAAATGGAAAGCGATGGCGATGTCAATGGTGAAGGTGAAGGAGAGCGCGAAGAAGGTAGTGTACAAATCGAGGCTGAGCCGCGTAGCGATAATGATGAGGAGGAAGTGGCAAACCAATATTTGAATGAAATTGAGATTAGCAAAGTCGATGAAGAGCAAATCATTACCGAGCTGGTGGATGCCAGCGGCCAAGGAAGCTGCACGGAAGCGTAAGCATAAAAATATTTATTATATGGAATTTATATATTTTATGCTATCATTTATGTTTTTTTTTTTTTTCATACCCAACAGTAGTAAGCAAAGCAACGGTATGCGTGTCGCTTTCGGTATAATCTTAAGACTAATGTTGCCACTTGCTAACAGCGTAATGCGCAGCTTCAAGGGTATACGCGATGTGCGGTTTCAACGTGTACTAAGATCAATTACTTCCAGCCGACAGGTGCTCACCAATCTAATGGCATTTGCTGCCAATTCCATATCGTTGAACTTGTCGTCGGTGCACGGTGCGTATACGTAACTTTTTGCAAGAAATGTGATTAATTTACTTTTCAGTTGTTGTAATTAGTTTTTAATCAAATTTTACATAAATGTTTAATATATTTTATATTTTTTTGGCATTCTATAATCGGATAGCAGACTTTAGCTATAAATCCAATCGATTCTTAAAAAATTGTAAGTGATCTATGAGAAATCAGCATTAATTCATTAACAAATGCAGACGCCGCTAATTTTTGATATATCTGTAGCTGAAGTAAAGTATTTGAATATTCAATGGAATGGGAACTAGAAATGAGAGATCACTTCGGAAACGCTTCATCACATACGTAGGCTATAGAGTCATTATTCACCCATCAGCAATGTAAAACTCTCATGAGTGTAAATCGAAATTTCCAGAACTGAAGCGAGCGAACCATTGTTATGCTACACGAACTGATACAGCATCGTCTCCGTAAACTTCACAAATTTCATTGGTGACTTGCGTGGCAATCTTCCCTTTTTTATAAAAAAAATTTCAAAATATAGTGAATTTCTTCATTATTTTCACTCATTTTTGAACAGCTGTATGTTTTTTTTCAACAACTTTAATTTTCTTTTGGTTACATGATGCTTAAAATCTCACCTTTCCAACACTACATATGTGGTATGACACAATGTCATTGGTAGCACTGGAGATATACGACTGCCACAACAACTATTGACAAAATACGAAAAAACATTTTCGACTACCCAATATCTCACAATCATGTAGAAAATTATGATTGTAAAATTTATTTTATAAATTATTCTCATAAATTGAACATTTTGTTAAACAATGTATCAAAAATAAAACAAAATACAGCAATGGCCACAAAATTACGAACAGCCAGAAAATTCACTTAAATTTATGGTTTATAACGATGGTTTAAAATTGTTTGAAACCTTTTCGCATACAAAAGGTTAACTAAAAAGTCCCTGGTCTGACACATGTGATGTTAGTTAGCCCTATCCTTCAAAAGGCATATGTATCAGTTTATTAGTTAATGAATTATATCATATTAAGTGAAGCAGCTTTTTCCAGGTGCCGTGCAACTTTTGTCCAAAGACATTGGCGACTCGATAATTCGGAGCAGTGTTTGGAGATGTTCAAGCGTAATAAACCCGAGTTTTTGCGTTGATATGTGAAAAAGGACGAAATATTGCTCCATTATTTCATTCCAAAGTCCAATTGACAGTTATTTGATGAACCCTCTTCAAAGTTTGGAAAAACGCAACAGATGACAGGCAGGCATGCGCATGAAATAAGTTTTATTGACTACCTTGAAAATGGAAGGACTATTAACAGCGATTATTACATAGCGTTATTAGACCGTTTGAAGAACGAAATCACCGAAAAACGGAGGCGTTGGAAGAAAAAGAAAGTGCTTTTTCGCTAAGACAATACACCGTGTCACAAATCAGTACAACCAATGGCAAGAATCCATGAATTGACTTCGAATTGCTTTTGCATCCACCGTATTCTCCAGATTTAGCCTTGAGGGACTAACGGACTTTTCAATAAGAGCGCTACAAATAAAACAAAAACGGCTTGGGATATCAATGAAATTCTATATTCCTGTGCAAGTACATTCTATGCCATTATGTATGGAGCACTATTTCTGTTGCATGGCCACCACGAGCACACTTGTAGAAGTCCAGACGTTGAATGCAATTTTCGACGGTTTTCGAGCATAAATCGGCCAATATTGCTGCAATATTACGTTCGATATTCGTAAGAATTTCATCAATCGTCGCTGGCTTGTTGACATAGACCATAGACTTTAAACATAGCCTCCCAGAAAATAGTCTCACGGCGTCAAATCGCACTACTGAAACGATCAATTGACTGGGATATTTCGTGAGATAATCGTCTGTGACATTCGCCGTCTGGCTTGTGACGCCATCCTATTAGAACTACATATTGTTCAAGTCCATATCATCCGATTCGGGCCAAAAATATAGAGTTATCATTGAGCGGTAGCGATTCCCATTCACAGTGACGTGCCGGTCTGGATCATCACGGAAGAAGTACGGCCCTAGGACGCCGTTGGCCAATCAACCGCACCAAACCGTAATTTTTCAGGATGGTGACTCAGAAGTACGTGTGGATTGCTGCCTGTTTAATAACGCATATTTTGCTTATTGGCGAAGCCATTCGGACAGAAATGAACTTCATAGCTGAATATGATTCTTCGATGAAAATGCGGATAATTTTCGGGTGATCAAACAGCTTTTGTTCTTGCGTCATCTATGGGTGAAGGTCACAACGATGTCACAGTAATAGCCAACGCTTCAGAAGAAGTGTGAGAGACTGATTTTGGTCTTCCTCAATTGATGCGCTAGCGGTAGCAATATTCACTTCTTTGTCCCACTGGCACGGTAACATTTCGTACTGTGTGTTTTCACTAGACGCTTAATTGTTCATCTGACAGGAAGATAAATTAGACGTAGAGCTCTTAAAGTTGAGGCCACTGACTCCGAATTTCGGTAGTAAATTTTAATAATTTGAAATGGCAAACCTTACTGAAGAGAAAAAAAAGAAGAAAAGAGCTTTAAAAATATGGCATCGTTTGCTGTCTCTGTTGGTCTACTTTTGTAGCATCTCTATTGAAACTGTTGTTACTGCTTTCAGATTTCTAAAAAATGCTCCATAGGAAGAAAGTTTCGAAGTTAGAACATTTTTGTTGATCGCCTTCGAAGACTTCATGCCAATTTAGATAATTTTTTGTTATTTTTGTTATTGAAACTTCCTTTCCATTATCAAATAGTTATCCATTTTTACACATTTTACTTTGTAATATTATTCATCATATCTTTTTAAGCATCTTGATAGACGTAGCGTCGCATCACTTTTGAGAGCGACAATAAAATTTTCTTTTTTTTCCCACAGTCTCACAGCGTATAGAACCAATTTTGAAACTTCTCAAAATACGACAAGCGCGCGATGGTATTGAAAGTCTTCCCGACATGCCTTCCATCGATATTGCACCATGTTTTCCAACCGCTACACCACCGCCAACTCCAACAACACCCGGCACCCCGACTATGCCAATATTCTCGCCCTTTCTAAATGAGCCTTCCATAGTTATGGCAAATTTTTCGACGGACAAGCGAAAAGCTACGCTGCCACATACGCCAGCACCAAAATGTTGCACGATAAAAATATTAGCAGAACCACCACCTGGCCAACCCATACGCGCTGACATTATCTTCATACATGGACTGCACGGTTCATTGGTGAACACATGGAAACAGGGACTTTGGGAAAACGAGCGTCAACCCGAAAATTTCGAACGACCACCGAAGCCACCTGTGCGACCACCGAAGCGGCCAAAACATTCTCGAGCTGCCCTACTACATCCGCCACACAAGCAAAAACGCGCAAGATTTGCTCAAGGCGATCCGAGTCAACGCGCCACACTGGAGGCAATGGAAAGTGATGAAATCAACAATTTGGATGATGGTTTTTTCGATGCGACTGAGCATGAACTGAAAGAGGGGTATGCATTAGGTACTTATGGTCTAAAATTTGTTTAAATGAATCTTTTTATTTGTAGTGTTTCATATGTTTGTGGCGCGCCAGAAGACATACAAAATTGTGATGGCATCGAGTATAGTTTTCCCACATTCCGACTGCGTTTGAACGATAACGGTCGACTGCTCCAAGGTCAATTCGACAAGATGCATGATAGTCCCATTGATGGTTGCTCCGGTGAACCACACGTGAGTCAAACACAGCCTGCCAGCGATAGTCCCAAGGCGAAAGGCAAAGGCAAAGCGAAACCTACGGCGAATGATCCAAATTATTCAAAATGTTGGCCGGGTGATTGGCTGCCCTTAGACTGCCCCGGTGTACGCGTTATCGCCGTAAACTATACTACCGATCAATATTTGTGGCGTCCCTTGTGGAAAAAGAAGGAGCCCCGTTCGAACCTCATTGAGCGTGCACGCGAAATGACCGAGTTGCTGATAAAACATCGTATTGGTTGTGGTCAACCGATTGTGTGGGTGGGTCACTCCAAAGGTGGCCTGTTCATTAAGCAAATCATAGTCAATGCTTGGGAGAGTGGTCGTCCTGCAGTGGCGCCGCTCTGGCGCTCTTCACGTGGCGTATTTTTCTATTCCGTTCCGCACCGTGGCTCACATTTGGCTTGCATAAAAGCGCCGCTGCTGGCACGCTCTGTCGAAATGTTGGACATTGAGAAGAGTGAGTTGATAATTGATATCTGTAAATGTGATATAGATCATTATTTCGTCCATCTTTATAGACAACAAATATTTATTGGATCTGCATCGACGCTTTGCGGGCCTCTATCATTTGGGCCACATTAAAATTGAGGTATTCAGCTTTGTGGAGACGGCGTTGACACTGATGTCAGTGCTCTATCTGCGCATTGTCGGAGTGGATTCAGCAGGTTAGTGAGAAAAACAAAAATATTAAATGTAGACTGAACTCGAGAATACCTGCAAAACTAAAGAATTCCATAAATTTAGACACTGCCGTTATTCATTTTGGTAATTATTATAAATTAACCAAACAATACCTTTGAGGTCCGCAAGATTTTATTAAACATAAAACCTTCTTCTAAGTCGATGAAATTGCACTGTCCTAGGTCAAAATTCATCATCATTTATTCATCAAGCCCAAAGATTTAAGTTAGTTAGATTAGTTAAGAGTCCACCTGTTCCTCACTAAATTTCGCTAAGAGGTTTAAGGTAAAGAAGGCAGATTCGCTCTAAACGCTTGACGGAATAATTATACCTACTCTCAATTAGAGGACATATGTATGTATGTACATACGTCTTATTACAAAAGATTACGGGATCGAATATCACTAGACATTCTGAAACTATTAGATAAGTTTACATTACCTCCATAGTCACTGGGATTGAAGAGTCTTACAGAGCCGCATCAACACTTTTAAATTGGATGCGTATGTATTATTATTATTTTTTTTTTTTTTTGAGCAGACGAGACAACTGTAAAGATCAGTTCACAGCAATGTTAGACGCAGTTGTGAGCCAATCCCAAGGAGTTTAAGCTTTGTTTCGGGACCGTCCACGAAATCCATTAGTACACGCCGAATATCAAGAAACATGCGAAACAGTGGACTTCAAGGGAAAACAAAAGGAAGCTATGCCGAGAAGTAAATCCCAATTCTTCCAAATATGTCATTTGTCGTTTGTATGCTAAGTACTCAACGGACCGTCTTTGTATACAGTACGGCGAAGCTTAAATATTAAACTAACTGAATATGAAATATGTAGTATCAGTTTCTTCAAGATACGAAAATATTCCTCCTGCTGCCGAGCTGACAGTCCTTGGCTGTATAACAGGCTCGGTTCTAGCTACATAGACCCATCTGAGTTGATATTGTTGTAACGGGTACCTAATCCCATTAGGATTTCTGCGAAAGCACCTCAGCTGAAACTGGAGAGGAGGTCATTATGTTTCTTAATTGATAGTAGACGGACCTCACTGTGGAGGTGTTCGATTTGAGACATCAAGAGGCATCTTGTCGTAGTGCGGAATGCACTGTTCTGACATAATTGCAGATTCCTCGTTTGGGTTCCACTGCATCCCGTGACCATATTGGTGTGGCGTAGTTTAGCACGGACCAGCTGATTTTCTTGTATGTTGCCAACAACGTTTCTTTGTCTTTTTCTTATGTTCTGTCGGCTATCGACTTGAGGATTTTGTTGCGGCTCTGTATTTTGCTGTCTGTACTCCTTCGACGAGTTTGTGAATATGATCGTTGTGAACTTATTGCAGGATAATGTTAAGTTCAGTGCAGCGAGGAAGCGAGAAAGGTCGGAGAGATAAGCGTTTACTTTTGAAAAATAAATTCCATTTCCCGACGTCATAATCGTGCAGTCATCAGCATATGAGGCGATAGATATTCCCTCTGGTGGTTGTGGGTGTTTCGAGAGGTAGAAGTTATGCAGTAACGGGGAGAGGACACCACACTGTGAACCCCTTGTTTAATGCATCATTAGTATTGAGTTTTTGCTCCGAAATAGTACAGAGCGTAGATTCTTCGATGTCCTCAAGTAGTGTTTTGTGATCCGAGGATCGTCCTCTCGCAAGGTGGACACCATGAACTATTTGGGCCTTTATGATGCTAAATGCTGTGGTAGTGCTTTTCGGAAGATGCGTCTACATATGCATAGTAAAAACGGCTTCAAGGCACTTTAAATCCTTTAATTTTAAAAATGCTTATGTTTTTTCCAACCTTCAGCTTGGGCATTTATTCTAAAATAAGGCCTAAGAAGCCGTCCAAACAGCAATAAAAATGAAATTATTATTAACATATGTCAACCATTTCATATATTTCGTAGATCCCGGATTTGGTGATGTATGCGGCATACGCTTGGATCATCGCGAGATTTGTAAGCCGCGTAGCCGAGACTGCATTCTATACAAAGAATTAGTTAAAATGATTAAAAAAGTATACTAAAATCAAGAAACAAATTTAGAATTAGTAAGAAGTAACTAAATAGAAACTGTTAGTACCTTATTATTTTAAAGTATAATGCTGTGGACAATGCTTAATTAAAATTGTGAAAGTAAATACACATTTTAATATAAAACTAAAAAATAAAGAATAAAACATATAACTGTAAAAACAAAAATTATAATAAATATATTAAAATAAGTATGTATATAAATTATATTTGAGAGCTGATGTTCAAAACATATTTATGTTCCACAAGAAAGCAAAGCGTTAAAGTACACACACACATATTTGCATATATATGTTTATGTACTAGTGATTTACACTAAGCGCATTAACTTAGCGGTAACCTGTTAAACGGTTATCCTCATCCTTTGCTACTCAACGATTGCCATATTTTATCTATAGTTATATCCACTTATATAAGCAATATATATATATTATACTATATATATTTATAACTATATATTTAATACACAAAAATGTATGTATTTGCGTTTATTACAAATTTTTTGATAATTATAATATATTTCTTATTAAGCGTTAATTTTTGTTATGTAAAATGCTATGTACAATAAATATAACTTCCGCAAATAAGTTAAATACATATGTAGTATATACACATATACGTAATATTGTACATAAGTATGTGTACATAAGTAGTACATAAGTATCTGTAATAAGTTCTTAGTTTCGTTTGTTGTTAAGAATTTTTATAAAAATACATGGCCATCAGGTATAAGAACTGTTATATAGTGATTGGATTTTGTGATCAGCTCAATAAGATGTGATTTTTTTTTTATCAAAGAAAAGCATAGCATAGTACGATATATGTACCTACATAGATAGCGATGATATTTTTTCCAAATATTGTATGCGTAACAAGAAAATATATACATATATATATATATATATTTAAGCAATTTAGTTAAGTGCTTATTGTAATTATTATTTTACTTTTACACAAAACAAAATGCAAGTATCTACTTATCAAAGCATTGCTTATCATTAATTAATAAACATATATACAAATACGATTATATTGATATGAGAATATTTTATCATTAAAGAATTTAAAATTATTGCTGTCAATACTATAAGAAATACTTTGCCACTGATGTTATAACTGTATATGCGTTTTATAAGAACTTATATTTAATAAAGAATTTATTTTACTACACCGAACAATAGTTTACCTTTAGATAATTCTCCAAATAAGATGAAAGGATTTTCAATTGTTGTTTGCCTACAATTTCCAGAAAGACACGGATATGTTAGAAAGGCCCTATATGTAAGTAGTCGCTTCCTCACCACGGAGCCTAACACTCTCACCAAAAAATTCACAGCGACCATATTCACATATATTCCTTCGTACAGGACATTACACTAGACAGCCTGTGCTGCTTCACTTCACCTACGACCGCGATTACTGCCAGAGTACAGAGCTGTATCAAAATCCTCAAGTCGCTAGCCGGCAGCACATGGGGAAAAGAAAACGAAATGTTGTTGGCAACGTACAAGGCAATCAAAAATATGGTCGCCTGGATGCAGTGAAACGCAGACGAGGAACCTACAGACATGCTAGAACAGTTAAGGAGCATAATGACTCATTATGCTGGGATGTTTTCGTAGAAATCATGATGGCAGTCGCCTGCTAGGAACAACAAGAGGTCCTTTCTTAACTACGTCGACGATATAAGACAATACACCGACCCGACTTCGGAAGCAACGAACTGTACTGACATCCATTCACAGTGTAGCTATAAACAACTTCACCGACTCCCTCCAAGTAAATGGCGTAATTAGAGTAAAATCACCACCCATTCCAGACAACGAGCTCAAGTTGCCGCGAGAATCGAGAGTGATCCTTGCTCAACTTCGTTCTGGACACCGTAGTAGATTAAACTTCTACTTATCAATATTCGACCCCGTTTTATATATGTCCAGCATGCATCGAGTTCCCGCATGACTCTAACCACATCTTTGCACGCCCAGCTAATCCTACACATCTGACAGCTCTAGACTAGGACTTGATAACCATTCCAACAACAACGGGCTTACATGGATAAGTACCTAGCCTGCTCACGGGTTTGCATTATTACCGCAGCTGGAATTTATTATTAGATAGTATTACCGATTACTGTCAAAAATTCAGCGGAATCGGAACCTTAGTTTTGTAGATCAAATGGTTATATTCGCTGATTTTATAAAAATGGAAAATAGCATTATTGGTGGCTTAATAAATTTCTGCTTACTTGGAAGGAAAATCAAAGAGCGTTGAGATGACGACCATTAACAAGTTTCAGCATGGGCGATCACCGGTTTTTAATGAACTACACCCATGTGCCCCGAAGATTACTACCACGCGGAAAAACTTAACGTATATTCTGGATGAATATTGGACATGAGAAAGCAGTCTGAATGGGTGCAGCAAGAGACTTCACAACAGTTTACTACGTCCTTAAGTGCAATGCGAAGGTATTTCTGCGTCGTGTTGTGAATGTCGACGAAATATAGATCCCCTAGTTTGAAGATTGTGAAGACCGTCCTATCGACTAAGTAAGGTGATGTTAAGCGTATTTTTGAGATTCACATGTGGTGATTTAATTTGAACTGCGTGGAGAAGAGCTGATTGATTTCACGGCTTTATTACAACGAACTATTTTGTCTATTCAATGCCAGATTCAAAAAAATGTATTAAATTGGTAAACCTTTACACGGTCGCTACAATCAATTTAACTATTTTCCATATTTGGCTTCGATTGCTTTTATTTCTATAGTGGAAAGAGTCACTCTACGGACAGAAATTTGCGTAAGAGAAGTACCTACATCAAAAATTTAAGCATTGACGAGTTAAATTCGCAACCTTAAAGAATATTATATCGCAAAACGATCGGAAAAAAGTTCCGGGTTTCTTTTGTATGCTAAGCTTAAGTGTTGTCCCTTTAGCTTTATATTTATGTGGATAAAACGTGACAGTGACTGGTATTAGTATCGAGAAGAGTGGAGAAAAGGAAACTGCGATAACCTCTGAGATCTCTATCTTAATAGATCACGATAAAAGGTTACTTTCATAAGGTTCATTATTGACTTATCATTGTCAATGGATTTATTGAGAAAATAGTTCGGTGAGCAGATAATTTTCGGCCGGTCGATTGGTATCAAAATGGTTTATATCACACCGTTAGACCTTTTCCTCTGGGGATATGTAAAATCTAAAGTCTATGCGGACAATCCCGCTTCGATTAAGGTCTTGGATCTACATCATGCTTGTCATTCGCTAGTTAGAAGTCGAAATGGTCGAACAAGTCATCGAAAATTGAACACAACGGATGGTCCATTTGAGAATTAGCGGCGGCCAATATTTGAAAAGGATAATCTTCAAAAAATAAATGGCAAAAAGTGTTCGTTCGAACGATAATAAAGACTCCCCACTAAATTTGAAGTTTCTGTGTTTTTTTTAAGTTGGGAACTTCGAAAAGGATCTCCTTTATGTATAGTATATGAACCATGACTCATAAAACTGTACCCCAAAATAGAAATCTTAATAAAACCAACCATTATTTGTTTCAAATAAATTATATCTGTATTTTCAAGTTAGCCTTTTTTCGTACACTTTTCTTTTGAACAATGTTAATTGCTGCCCACACATCTACTAACACATACATAATCATATCATATTAGTGCGAGCGTTTGGTAGAAATAGTTGCGCAACCTTTATCTATTCCCGTGATTTTTTTTATAGACAAATATTTGCTTTACATATACATACATATATGCTTTACATTACATATACGTATGTGTGTTTTATTTTGTATGTCACACTTTCACATTGTTTTTGTATTTAACACAAGCTTATCAACTACATACACATGTATTTTCATGTTTTTGTTTTTATTAATTTTTTTTTCTCAATTTACTGACATACAAGTATAAAAAATGTTTGCTTATCATAACGATAAATATACTATATATTAATACAATATATATTTAATAATTATTAAATCTCACAATTACGTACAAAAAGCGAACAATTAATTGATATTAATAATAATAAAGAAGGAAAACATAATCGAACTTTTCATGAAAAATTACTTAAACAAGTTTGCATACAATTCTTAACAGATCTTAAGCTCAAAAAATAAAAAAACATTTTTTTTTGTATTATTTAGCGGCCTAAGTTACTGGTATCGTAATAGATAGTATAGGCTCTAAGGGTTTTTTGTTTTTTAGAATATCTGCATATAAATTGAATTAAAAAGAAAATTGTTTTAAATTTTAGTTAGTTCACGGATTTTAGAAAAGTCGCGCTTAATATTTACAGCTTTTAATCCTTCAAACTTATACACAAAATACATAAATTTCAAAACTTCAAATAAATGTGCTCTCTTTCTAATTGAAAAAAAAAATAATATTGTATGGAAAAATGTAAGAGAAAATCAAGCCTACATTGCTTAAGTATTATGAAACCAGGACATTTTTGCTGAAATTTACTTGGCACAAATTCCAATTTTTAATCGGAAAAGTAAACACAAGTATGGAAACACAAACTAGTCACAAAAGCAATCACAACTATTTGTACCAGTTTCTGGTAACGTAAATATATCTCATAACTAAAGTAAAAAGATGAGTTATAATCATGATATATTTTGTCATACATAGTGCCTAGGTGCAATATGGGGTCTCAGCGGCTTTGCTAATCAAGAAGTTTAAGATGAGTAAGTATCTATAAGTATTCTAAACAAGGAACCCCACAATTTGTTCAACGGATTTTAAGCTGCAGAATTGTTTTTCGGTGAAATTTGGTGATGCCGTCGTTTGACTGAGTTAGCACAGGGTGTGGGCCAAATTTAATGTAAAGAGTATACTATAAAATTGACAGAAATTATGAGTAAAACTATGAACTTAAAAAATTGTTACATACAATTTATTTTTAATTTAAAGGATCATATATTTAGGCGCATTGGGTCGAAAAAGGTTCAATAATGATCATAGCTATATTTATATAAAACCACAAGGTTCGAATACAATAAACACAGCTACTACCTTCCTTTTTTCCTTATATTTGAAGAGAGAATATTAAATAACAAATCTTACTTTTGATGTTTTGGAGAAGAAA